CAACAAGCTCCACCCCTCTGTTAAGGAAGGTCTCTGATCTATCCAATTCTGGGATGGATCAATAGGGAGTGATCATGCGTGTCACAGTTCATGGTTGTCATGCGTCTTCTACCTCGGCCTGCTCCCGAGGCCACGAGTATTGCGCTGTAGAGACTAGAGTTGACCCATAGGTGTCGCGGTTTCCCCCGCGTCCAACAATACTCCTTCTGCTGCCCTCGAAGCCACGACTGGTTGCCTCGCTTGCCTAAGGACCTCGTGGAATGTAACACTCTTGGTCGCCTCTACCAGTCTGTCTGGCGTTCGGTCTCATTGTACCACACGACATGAGCATTGCCAGCTTGCCAGGCACGTGCCAGGCTGAGAACCTAGGTCACAGTTTGAGGTATCATTGTCTTGTAGAGATCGCCGGCCCAGCCAACCGACAGGGCTTAGGCAACCCGGCCCAGGACATATGGTCGTGCCTTTTCCGCACAAGGCATTCCTGAGCTCGAAGAGAGGCTTCTCTTTCGGTCCTAGCGTAGACGAGCTGAGCCGCTAGCTAACGGGATCCTAGTGTAGATGGGGAAAAGGACCGTATTGTGGTGGTGTATGTTCCGCCCACACCTCGCTCCTCAACTCCAGATTTGCGCAAAAAATGATCGACCCTCCAGCTATCCGGGGCGTCGTACATGCCACGAAAGGATCGCCGCAATCTGGCGCACTTCAGTTGAAGCCAGACTGGCGACACTGCCGTCGATCTCGCGACAGGGACTGGCGCTGGACAACGCGACTAGGATAGCGATACCATCTTTTGCTCGTCCAGATCTAGGGAACTCTGCGAGACAACCGTATGGATGGATCCCTGCCGTGTCAGACACCTTCAACTCCGAGTTTCCTGTTGTAGATCCCGAGGCTCCTCGCGATATTCGGCAGTGGACCTGTGGGTTTCGCTCCGCCCACTTGCCAATCTCTAGTCCTCCGGATAACCTCTTTCCTTGATGCAGGGAACCCGCCAACATACTCTGACTTCCGCAAACCCTGGCTCGGCACAGATACTCGCAGTGTTCCGGAGGTTCTGCTACAAGACCTAGGCAGGCCTGCATGGCGTGCGTCGACGTCACTCAAGAGTTTGATCTTCTCTCATCCTTGCCCTTCTTGTGTCCGTTGTTGATCACTCCGGACATGTTAGTGGCAGTCAAGAGACGGTCGATCACGACTGGAAATTAGACTGTGATCCGCTTGTGGTTATGAGGCTGTAAAAGCGAGAAAGGTCAGCCGGGCTCCCAACTGTCCTGCTGGTTGAGTCATGGTTTGTTGACTGTCGGATCGCAGCTTTATCCGACTGGATATCAAAGTCAAATCCGGATGCTATGCTTCAGAAGTCCATAGGTGAGATATTCGGAGGGTCGGCGCCTTGCATCAGTCATGGCGCATCCAGAGCTGAGCACTTGTATACTGCTTCAGATGTGAGGTCGCCACCAACACCAGGCTATGCGAGGACCTTGGGACGCTTGCTTGAGACTCGTCAATGCCGGTTCCGAGGTCGGAGCAACCTTTCCGCACGTAATATCTAGAACTCGAGGCGCGGTGGGGATGGGAGCATATAGGTACAGCCTGAATGTATGATGAGGCCAAACCGGTCAGGAATTTGACGTCCGTGTTGATGAGCGGTCGACGATCTGGTTAGACGCACCCCAAACGCAGCCGAGTATGCTCTTCAAGGTGTTCCACACTCACTTCGCTCTCGTAGTGTAGTTCGTTCAACTCCTGTAGGCGGTGTAGTTGATGGAGGCGATTTTAGATGATGATTAGGAGGGGGGCGGGGGGGCTAGGACAGTGGTAGAAGATGGCGAGCTCTAAGTTTGAGCAGAAGATGAACCTCAAGTAAGTAGCGAAGCAGCGCGGAATCTGTGACAAGCTTGGATAAGACAACAAGAATACCAGACTCAGGAGGAGCCACCGTCGGCCAAAAGCAGGACCGTTTCCTTCTCCTCTTCTTCTTCTTCTCCTGGAAGGATCGTAACGGAAGGCAAGATATCGCCACATGTGTAGGATATCTGCCCACGCCAACGTGTTGGGAACTTGGGATCAAACGGAAGGCACATCAAATGGAAGTAACGGCGGCTCGGGTTCGCTAGAGGCCTCCTGCTGCTCCTCCTCCTTCGGATAGTCTCCCCGAAAGACGGGAAGCGAAGGTTTGCACGGTTCTGAACCCTCCAAGGGCAGGCGCCAGCAGAGAGACCGGCCACACACAAGACAGGAAGGCATGAACTGTCAGGTTCCTTCAAATTTCAGAAATCGCATGACATATTCAGCCCCAACATATTCTTACTGCTTTGACACCTTCAGGCTATCATAGAAGTTGGCGTCGCCGAATCAAGCACAACATTGTGACCGATTCTAGAGTCTGGTGAATATTAACCCTCACCGGCGTACCAAACAACAGTTTCTGCTACTATATCATACCGTACAGCTCTCCAGTAATAACTCGATGGAACGATAGATACAGATCTCGAGGTGAGTGTCCCTTTTTGATGATTTCCTCTGGGGCTCACGGAAGCCTATTATTCTCAACTAGCGTTCGACCGATACCAACGTATGCCATTATGAATATTATGCTCCCCTTGCAGGGCTCTGTGTCCCTTTCCGTCGCAACTCGTTCCCCTCTATCCTGGAAGAACGAGCCTTTTCGGAAAGTCGCCGAAAGGTTGATGGGCAAGGCTTGACCAGGCCCCTCGAGAAGAGACAAGAAACACAGCTGCAAGCCTCAATTTCAATCAAGCAGCCGTCCCAAGTTGGACGCTCCAAACTGCCTTGTCAAGAGAAGAAGGCCACTCCGCCGAGTATCTCCATAAAACCAACACGGTCCAGGATTCTCCGTACCAGACTGTCAAAGGCCGCGCTCTACGGCTTCCAATCGTGAGTTCATCTAGTAGCCTCCTCAAGACGCCCTTCAAAGTCGAACTATGACACCCATGGGCAACATCGACGTTGGGCGTCGCAACGACGAAAATTGCAATGCTTCTCGGAAACTTCACAACCTCGCAGGACAGGCCCTTATCTGGGTCACAGTAATGCGTTGTCGAAGCCCGATAGCAATCATTTTATCCGTGTATCAACGTGCGAGTCACTGCGAGGGGCTGCTGTCCAATGTGGAGTCGAACCGGAAATCACGCGCAGAACTTCTCCTCGAGCGCATCAGTTCGCCGGCCACACTCGGCGAAAGGAAAGTATGAGGTGGGATCGTCCTACCTACTCAACAAGGCATGTGGGCTTGCGGGCGTCCGAACGGGGACCGTTCTCCGCAACGCAAGTATGGACACACGGAGCAACTGGTGATCTCCGACCCGGACCGGTCGCTTGTAAGTCAAAGAGGACGAACTCTGAGGTTTTAACGGCGACCATCAATTTCTACAGCGTTATGACGTCGAGTCGACACGATTCTCCATGGTTCTGTTTACCCAAGCGAAAACCATAGGACCTCATTCAATGTAGAATAATCCGATTCGCATACTCAGTTGCGGCAGACCGGCACCGATCGATTAGCCCCATATAACCCGGAACAGCGATGCCAACTACGGCCCCACCATCCCGCGCCGACGTCCCGGCACTGGCGCTTGGGGGGGACGGAAGACCATCCAATGGTAGCACATGAAACCAGCCAGCAGCGGCCAAAGCACCGAAGAAATGGCACACGGCAACCGGGCGTATCCGTTCCACACGTTTACAATTTATCCAAAAGGTTTCCTCTGCCATTTGCCCTACCGATTTCCGAGCGAGAGTCACGTTCTGGCTCTGTCTTTGCTCAGAAAGACCAGGTGAAGAACCGTGGCTCCTTATCTAAGGGCAGTCAGTCTACTTCGAGGTGTCCCTCACAAACCGTAAAGAAACTTCTCGCAACCGTAACTCCCATCCCATCAAGCTTTTGCAGCCACGGAAGACTGAAGGAGGGACGAAGGATGGCCAACACCTCTCCCTCTCGGAGCCCCTCCCCGCATCGACGTCAGTAAACCACCTACCAGCCAAACTCAGTTCCTCTGATCCAGTGCCGTCTCTCTTCCGTTACCTTCCCCCCCTCCACCAAATAGCTCTTCAGCCTCGGTTTCGTCAAATAAGCCGCCCTGTCATCGCCAAAGTCACAACCCAAAAAAGCCAAACAGGCCTACTCCCTGCTTGAAATGCTTGACCTGCTATCTCTCAGAGTCCCACGGGCGACCCAAGCAACCGACGCACCGGCAGAGGCTTTCCAAAAAGACACAGGCAACGATATCGCTGCTAGGGGAACATTCTCACACCCACCATAATCAGTAATCAAGACTGCAAAGGAGAAAGATATCCAATGGTAATTTGTCGCATTTCAGAACTTGACCTCGAACTTGCTGAAGCATGACATCGCCGATCGTGGTAGAAGATTCCTGGACATCATTAGCTTGACGTTTGCCTCGATCGAATAATGAATCGTCAGCCATGATCCCTTTCCCACTACCCTCCCGTCTGTGCTCCCACCGACTTTGTCCACGTTCATTTGCGCAAATGGATGGGTGTCATGTCAGCCAAGCCTGCATGCGCGCATACGTTACCATTACAAGTTTAAGCTCATTACGGTCAGGCCCTAGGTGCATGTGTCATAAAACAAACGCCAAAGATAAGAAAAATCATGATGAGAGTCAAGAAACTTTTTAATTTCTGGGAAAACCACCCGCGTCTGGTAGGTCCTCCCTGGTATCATCTAATGCCCGCCCCACTCAAATAGAAGTATGTACAAGTGTTGTTGAAGAAACAGTATGGACCTTTGTCCGGTTGACTGGACGCCGGCCCTCTGTCGATTAGTGCGTGAAATACCAATTTTCCTCCCCTCTTCTATGGGCCTGCAGGAACGGTCTCGACGTGCTCTCTCGATTGTAGTGAAACTCAAAAAAACGCCGCTTTGTGATTTAAGGTTGATTGTAGGTGATGATGATGACTCGTTGAATTTCCGCAAACGGTGTTCAGACGTCAAGTCACGCCAAGCCTGCTCCCGCTCATAGCGCGAACAAGACAGCGGCGAAACCGGCCATCATGAGCGAGATGGAAGCGCCGCTTGTAGAGGCGGCACCGGGGAAAGGCACGATGGAGCTTGTCGGCGAAGAGGTGGCGGTAGGGGCGGCGCCGGTTCCGCTCATGGTCGCCGCAGTAGTGGTGGAGCAATTGTCGTGCGTGTCGGGCTTGGTGATGAGCTTGAAGTTGGCGCAGCTGATGCGAGTCTTGTTGGCGAAGTGGAAGACGAAGCTGCGGTTACCGAAGAAGGAGCCGGGGCCCTCGACGATGGAGAGGTAAGGGTCGACGTAGGTCTTTTCGTAGTCGACGGCGACGGCGCCGTGCTTGCCGCTCAGGTCACCGACCTGGCACGTCTCGGGCTTGGAGCTATCGCATTTGGTGGCCTCGCCGCGGATGAAGGGATCGAGATGGGCGAGCGTCTTGGTGCAGTTGCCATCCTCGGGGACGGGGTCAACGTGGAGGTGGTAGGCTGGAGGGTGTTAGTCGCAACGAAAATAAGAAATGAAAATTGAGGGACTGAGCATACTGAAAGGACCGCCCTCCTTGGGAAGGTTCGAGAATCGGACCTTGAATTCGACACCCTTGCCATCGGGGGCAGTCACGGCGACGATGGAGCCCTGGACGTTGCCCTCAAGCGAGCCGGCCTTGTAGAAGGGCTTCTCGGGAAGGACAGCCTCGTAAACAACACCGGCCGGGTTGGAGACGATGGTGGCATCGCCAAGTTCCTGAGAGTCATGTTAGTACGCTTGAATCCTAGCATGTGAATTGAAGACGTGGTGACATACGCCAGTGGACTGGGAAGCGACACGGCCAACAGCCGCGGCGGCGATGATGGAGACGACGGAGAAGGACTTCATTTTGGCGGTGATAATCTTGTTGCAATATCCTAGGTTGCTGAGGGGCGGGATAAAACTGGTTGGAATGCGGCAAGCGATGATCAAGGGCGAGCTTGTGAAGTTGGGGGTTAAGTGAAGGGTAAGAGGGGTTGGGAGAGCTTCTTAAAAGAATAAGAGACCGTGGGGATGCCCAGACCAAGTGATGATCCAACTGGGGAGGTAGTGAGCGTAGGTTGGAATTGGAAAGCTAATGGAGATCTGCAAACGGCAAGAAGGTATTGGGTTGAGACTCTTTATGGCCCACACACACGCTCACTCACACGAGAGAGAGATGTGATGAGGATGGGACCAACGACAGCCCCCAATGCCACGGTAGCTTGGCACCCTAGAGGCCGGTATGTATGCGGAATGCCAACGGCAGGGTGAATGACCGCACCCCGGCTGCGCTAGCTCCAGATTAATCAAAGAAAGGAACGAGAGTCAAGAGGAGGCCACAACATCGGATGCTTTGAGCCATCATGTATTTCGTACGACCAGGGGGGGAAGAGGAGTGGAAGGGGATGTAGTGTAGAAACGGCAGCTAGCCGTCGGCGCATCTAGGCGAATGAGAAGAATGTTTCTCTCGCAAGGTACGTATCGAAGCTTTGCGCTGCCGGGGTGGACCTTGTGCGCCCTGTGCTACGAGAGAAGAGATGATGGAAGGGCAAGCTGCAATCTGCAAGCTGCAGGAGGGAGAGTCATAGGAGGAGGAGGGCCAGGAGTTGGGGGGAACGTCAAAGAGACAAGGCAGGCAGGTGAGTTCGCAGGCGGTAGGTAGAAGGGACCGTCTTGCTCTTTCGTGAGTCGTGACGGGCAAAGGAAAGTTCAACTCAATGACAAGGAGACTGGCCATTGCCTCAATAGCCGACGGGGTTTACCTTACTAGTATTGATTAGAGTACGGATACTTCGGTACGGGAAGCGGAAGCGAACACAACCTCCTTCACTCTGAGTATTCGCAGTCAGGATGAATAGATGGTCAATAGCTACGAATGAAGTCCCTGTCCCACGCCTAGAGATCTCCATGACATGGTCGAGCCAAGCAAGCACCAACCTCGGGACTTTTGATGGTGTATCCGTAGCTGTAAGGGCCGGCAGGGGCTGCAAGGCAAGGAAAGGAAACACACAGAGAAGGGCCAGAATCCTGGTAGGCATCTTGCCCGATTTGGCATCTCGCTTGCTGGGATTTGGTGCGGGAACAGCGGAGGGTAAGACAGGCGGATGAGCTCGCGCCAGGAGCGACGGGAGGGATGGACGCAAGGGAAGGGAAATCCATTAGCTGCCACTGGGCAGACGAGACTGGAGTAGCAACGCTGAACTCTGGGCCACCACATACATTGCATGGAACAAAAACAAATAGGCGGTTGGTGATGTCTGACTTTTGTTTTCCCATGCACTGCGCCACCTTGGAAACCCATCTCGCCCCTGCCAATCAGAAATAGATTGCGCGCTCCAAAGAAACGTGCCAACGGCGAACACAAACAAGTTCGGGGGCTTTTAGGGGCACGCAGCTCGCAGATGCGTATAGATACTTATGTTGCTGAACATGCAGATAGCCGCTCAAAGAGCAGGGCAAGGCTGACGAGTCGGTGGTCGTGGAAAGAGGAAAGCTCAAAGTTAGACAGAGAAGCAGTGTCACTACATGTCAGAATTCTGCCAAACAAATGACCAAGAGCATTGGTAGAGACAGAGGCTGAGGCAGAAACGGCGGCTATCCAGCCTCCTCTTGACGTACAGCTGTCCGTCTGCCTTGTTGTTGGTTTCAATGATGGAAATGAGCCTGCTCTACGACGAGCCTGGGAAGAGGTAGACCTTGATTTATCCCAGGCACCAAAGAAATTGTCTTTTGGTACCTGCGGGCGCATGAGCGTGTGACGGACTATGTTGGTGTTGAGTGGTTATGATGACCATGGTAACGATGATGGTCATGATGACATTGATGTTGGCGGGCTGAACATTAAGGTGGTGGAGGCGGAATTCCATGGGGGCCTCGCTTCAGGCCGCCATAAGCTGTGGGCCAGTGAACAGTCGGCCTTTCTCAGCGTGCCCGTTGAACAAGCACCTTGTCCCGTCATAGACATCCTGGCTTGCATCCCCGACCCAACCAACGTCCAGCTGAGGGGCTCCTGATGCGAGTTGTGAGTGACATCTGTGAGCTCGGATGCTCTACCAGTCGTCTTCTGCATCCAAGCGCGCTGTCTCCTTCGCTCAGATGAGTCCGTCACTTTACCCACTCACTCACTCTTACCACATGGAATCCATTAGGCGCGTTTTGAAAGACAACGGCTTCTACGAGGTCCCGTATTCGACTGTCCGTCCCTTGCCCTAGGACCTTGATCAAAACTGCTGCCAGCATGACAGGGGCTGATGAACGGCCCCCGCAGACTCAGACGCACTTTGGTGCCAGGCGGGAAATAGAATAATGGGCAGATGGTTGGGTTGGTGACTGGAAATTTGGGGGTAGTTGCAGACTGCAGACACCGGAACCCTGACGATGAACATCACCCAAACATTTGCTCTCCGCTCCCAACGCTGGTTTGCTTTGCTCAGGGCTGGCTTTCTTTTCTTCTGTGCCTCTCTCTCCCCTTCTAATATGTTTCAGCAAGCCCACCCCGGGCCTTGCAGTTTGTTCAGCCCATTTGGACCAACACATCTACCAAAGACCAGCTCGCAATGTTTCTTTCAGGTAAGGCGAATGTCGGTAACGATATTTCCATGACCAGCAGTGCCGCCACCTTTCCAAGGCCATGAAGTTGGACTGTTTTGATAGACCCCATTCAATATCGCTCTGTGAAATTGGCTCGCAAACATGTTGTTAAAGCCCTCTGGGCAGGGCTCAGGACTCAAGAGACTCACCTCGGGCTAGTATCCATTGGCGAAGCGCAGACGTACCTCAAACCACCAAGGAGAAGAAGTCAGCAGGGCGCAAGTCGTGCGAGTGTGACACAGGAAGATGCTTCCCCGAACTTGCATCCATCCTCTATGTGCCCTCTCAATGTGCGTGCTGTGCCACCTTGCCTTGGCTTGCCTAGCCCCTCCAAATTGTTCCAATAAAGTGCTTGTAGCATGCTAATTATCGATGGACTCACCATGTTGCCCTGCCCACCCGTACTGGTTGGTTGACAAGTTTCAAGTTCCATTCCGAGCCGAAGAGCAGCGTTACTAGCGCTGACCGGCTGGGAAGATGCGTGGTGGGTGGGAAGTTTTCGGCGCCAGTGCCTTGCAGATCGCTTGCGACTCTGCTAGTCTCGATTGATTGGCATTCCAACCCTGGCAAGGCTTCCCGATGCAGTCACCAGTCACCTACGTTGCAAGACAAGGTCTTATTGGCCCCCAGGCCCTGGACCACCTCTTCCAAAGGCTGATGAGCGCTAGCATCCAAAGCGAGAGAGTCTGGTACGAAAATACAGGGCAGTGTGGAGTGGGATTGTTCCGATACCCGGTCGTAGAGAACCACCAGAGATGCGCCAACCTTTGGTGGTGTTTCGAAAGGGTGCAGTTGTAAGCTGCAGAGCGTTCTCGCCGTGTGGAAAGGGTTTCCTCATTCGTAGCCAAGCTTGAGTCGAACATCACTCATAGGGTCGAATGACTCTCTCGATGACCTGAGCTCGTCTTCTCATCCTATCCTGTCAACCTCTTCTCGTCATGCAGCGGTGACGGCCATCGTCCCGTTGGCGCAATCGGCACCTCTGTGCCACTGTCGTCAGAACATTCGCTCTGCCGACATGACGAAAGATCAACGCTTGGTGTGGACGTCTGTATCCAAGGCACAGGATGAAGGACATGCTCTCCTTTGGGTCGTCTTCGGGGATGCACAAAGGACATGCCAAAGGTCTGTTCACCTATCCTAAAAGCTTGAGTGTACTGCGAGTGTTTCAAGAGAAACAAAATCTGGTGATACCCAAAAGTTTGGCGATATCGTATAGTTCTGTTCGGAGGTGGACCATCCGTCTGGGTCCAAAGTTGCTGTTTCAGCTTGTCATGTCACTGCCCAAGCGATGAACACATTGGCGGCCCTGCCGTTTGGCTGCTTTGCTGGCTTGATCCCAGACTGCCAGCAACAGATACCGCCCGGTCAACTTCTTATCAGGCGAACTGCTGCCCACTGGTCCTGTCAACACCGGTGACAAACGGCCGTCTCTTGGCATTCGATCTTTAGTGGTTTAAGCTTCTTCCATATCGATGCACCGTTTCTCCACTGCTAGATGGGCTAGAACCGTTCGGAATCTCAACAGAGCCTCCACTTAGCAATAGATAGCACAGAACACCGTTTCCAAGGTGTCAGGTGACGGCTTAGCACGTTTAGCTCAGACTGGCCTCGGGCCTGATTCTTTGCACGCTAGACCTGGCGTCACCTTGTGCAGCTTCTCTTCATGGATTTTCCCCCTTGACAAACATGCGCTTGCAAATTCCGTCGTTATTTTTCTCCAGTATGGTATTGCCCAAGGTCGGGGTAGAGGGAACGCGTTTCAGGCTTCAGGGTTCTGAGCAGACGAAACCATTGGGGGCCGACTGTGCCTATCGTGAAAGTCTATGTGGGACGGCAAGGACGGCCATGTCGGATCCTTGCGACCAGTAACCTGAGGCGACTAACGGCTGTAGTCGCCGGCAGAGCTTCGTATTTTCCAAAACCATGGTTGATCGGGGATGGGTCTGCTGCGATCTCACGGGGACGATCCGATGCACCTCGAGATCCGGGAAGGACCACATCCGTCCAAATTCGGCGGGACACGCAGATTTCCTCAAGAGCCATTGCAGATTGACTGATGGTACACATCGATCTTGAATCTTAAGCTGCTTTAGTGTGAAAATGAGCATGTATCCGCCATATGGAATAGGATGATTGAGTTGCAGAACAGAGGTCCGGGCACAGACTTGCGAGCGGCCCCACCCGCGCCGAGGCGTGGCCGGGCGGTAAATTCGGCGGGTCTTTCTTCCGTCCGTGTGTGGCTAGTGAGCGGCTGACTGATGTGTGGCTGGACTGGACAGTGGCTGTAACTCCAAGCCTGGTAAGTCAGGCAAGCTTATTGGACGTCACCGAACTGGTGTGGAGCTCGGCGAGATAGGTAGCAGCAACAGCCTCGACCTTCGCGATCACTGCCAACGACGCCGCCACACGCATCACGACCCAACGACTTCGCATTCGTGCTTCATCAGACATACAGCCAAGAAATCAGGCCTCCGCCACAAACCGTAAACATGAAGCCTGTCGTCAGTGCCATGCAAGCATGGCAATGGTACGCCCTCCCCCGATGCAGTATCCCCCTTGAGCCAAGCTTCCGAATACTAATTCGCCTTCATTCGATAGCACTGTCATCTCCGTTTTCGCGATCGTTATCCTCGGTGTTCTCGGCATTCTATTCAAGCAAAACCATCCCGAGCTCGTCGGTAGCGAGGAAGACCCCAAGGACGGCGGCGCTGTTGCGGGCACCATCTTCGTGTCTGTGATGATCTACATCGTACGTCACGCACCCTCCTCCTACACATATTGGCAAAAAATGCACGCGCTTTTGAGGAACCAAGTTGCTAACCGCCAACACTAGGGTTTCTTCGTTTTCTGCGGCTTCCAGGGCCTTCTCCACGTCCGGGAGAATAGACGAGGCGCGATCGCATTGTAATGATACGGAGAAGGGGTTATTGGAATGTGCAGAGCATGGCATCAAAAACACATTATGGTTTTCCTGGCGTTTGGCATCACGTTGTTGAATTTTTGTATGGCACAGCTCAAGCACCCGCCTCTGCCTGCGGCGGGTTCCCCAGCCGGATGAGAGGAGGAGGGTCAGCTCTTTTGAGAGCGTTGTTCCAGGACTTGAGCTTGTAGTTATTAGCATGTCGCTATGAAAGAGCAGGAGGGAGCATGGGTTTCGATGTACGAAAGATATTCTTTTTAGAGGCCCGCGCGGAGTTTCGTATATAATGAGCAAGCGTAAGCTCTTGTTATCAAAGGCGCGAAGTGAAACCCTTTGAACAACTTTCTGCGCTCGTGTTGAAGTTCCGACTTGGCCAGATACACTCTCATAGTGAGGTGGCTTGCGGGCCTGGGCGAGAAACACATCTCGACGACGGAGACGTGGAAATGAGCCTGCAAGTCAGAATATCTATTCTCACCACATCATTACGGCTATTACTTACCATGGTGTGATAGTTCTTCTATCCTACACTGTGCATAGCCTGCTATGTCTGATGCTTCGGCTAGAGTCTACCCATCATATTCCTAGCTACATCGAGGATTTGGTACTTTACACTAGACGTGATGCAAACTACGCTTAATGATTGAGAAATCACTTCAGCTAGCACGATTCCAATTGCTAAGTCCCTCTGAAGTGTGTTTATTGAACCAGGCTGGCGTGGCGATCCAGGTATGTCCGAATGGTCTGCTGGCTCTAATCTACTGACCCGGATTGGAACCTACTATTTATGCCATCAATTCTGAAGAACGGTGATTTTGATTGCCAACTCCGTATTGAGGAGTAATGTGTGCGTATGCTCCAAAAAGTGCGGTGGATTAAGGAGGCATTTGTCTGCGACTAAACGCGTGGTAATTTGGCTGATTTGCAACATTCTGCAAGCGTAGTTAGCAGTGTATTTCACATGAAGTCATTGATTTACTGAACTGCTACTGTTTCTGCGAGATACAAAGACAGTTCGAGGCAGGTACTTTGAGCTTGCGTAACTACACCGAGGCCAACTTCGGCGATCGCATCTTCCAGTTTCATATATCAACTAGTATGTTACAAACGTGCTGGAGTCTACAATAATAACCTTCACTTCAAGGGTTAGAAATATGTGAGTCGTGGTTCTAGCTGTTGAGGGAGTAGACGAGGTAGAGGTAAAGAATCGACTGAGCAACCTACCTCCACAAAACTCCCCCTTACTCTTACTCTTGAGAGGCGAAACGTCGAAACAGCAAAATTCAAGAAAAAGAGTCCAATCTATTTTCAAAGCTCTCCGTATAGCTATCGCAGTAACTGATATTCGTGCGAATGTTGGTTGTGATTTCCTTGCTCTGTAGTGCTGTGTGGCCTCCATGGATGTCACGATGCCCTCATTCCAGCACATACGACCATACCCATTGGAAAACTCGGGATCCCGTCCGCTCTCCCATAGATAAGCCAATGAGGGCCGGATTAGTAGTTGGGTCGGTGACGACCAGCGAATACCTGGTGTTGTATGTTCTTTTGCTTTTTGGATGATGATGGAGCGAGTGGATAACGAATCTTTGCTAGTTTGGTCTTCTTGCTAAGGTCGGTGACGACCAAGATACTCCAGCGAAGTGAGAGGGACAAGCAAGGGTGTGTCCTGGAGTATCTGCCTTTCTTTGCTCTATTTGAGAGTTTTCTGGTGTCCAAATGGACTTTACAGGGACCGTCTCAGTAGACCTCCTTCCCCTTACGAGGATGGCAACTTATACCATAACGTGACCGCGCTCTTTGCCGGTTGCACAGTAGGCTATGAACAAGTACATAAGTGATGCTTCTAGATGGAAACGATGACCCATGGGTATCCTCAACCCATAAGGACCCAAAGTCGCGGGACCCATGAGTAGCGAACAAACAATGAGAACCTGAATTGCTGAAGTTCTACCCATGGGATCCAAATCCGTGGGGACCCAATTGGTGATTACCCGGAAACCCACGAGTGTCTCCAGTTCGACACTTGAGAACTTTGGATCCCCAATTTCACAGTCACCCAAAACCCATTAAGTCCCGTTTACCTATGGGAACCCAAATCGTGATAAACCATAGGTACCCACGAACAGCCAAACCCGCACCAAATTACAAGAACTAAGGTGTGAGACCACCACTGAGCTCGCCACTGATCCTTCCGTCAACCGCCATGGCTGCGACTTAGAAAGATCGCGCGTATAGTGAGTAGAAGCGATAACAAGCTTCGAAGCTCGGCACAGAATCTACCAAAACCTGTATAAGATAATACGTGAATAGTCACCAAGACCAGCCAGAGGCCCTAGAAACATACACGAGACTTTTGCTTCAAAAGACTTAAATTCAGGAAAATGATGTTTGACTCAGAAAATCTGGCCTATCGTGGTTGTTGATACTGGTAACCTCGCTGCTTTGCACTTGGGGAAGAAGCTGATTTCACACCCGACGGAGACATGGCAACAGAGATAAAAAGTCTCACATAGGGTGTCCATATTCGGGTATCGTGTGTCGAACTGAACCAGTACGAAGGTGCCGTATAGATCAACAGTTTTCTGGCCAATGTGGCCAGACCGCGATGATCTACATTCATCGCGGCATATTAAGTTTAGAGGAACCTTAGCCGGTTATTTAGTGAACACGAGGCGGCTATTCCGAAGATGGTTCGTCTCGTCCTGTGGAATGGGATGAATCCGTTTATATCCGGTACTGCGTACAAACATTAAATATTATAAAGCCGCAGTCCTCGCATCCAGTCGAGTGTACCCTGCCAACCCTGCCATATCATACATGCTCCGACCCCATCGACAACCTCCTACTCTCCCCCTTAGCTCCAGCCTTCCCGTAAAGCTCAAAATCCGTGTAGACGCTACTGATCGCGACTCTGGCGGCGGGAGGCGAGTTCCACTGAGACGGACCGCCTCCGTGGGGGTGCTGTTGCTCCGCGGCCGACCAGGCGTCCGAACCGACGCGGGAGACTTTCTTCGCCGTGTTGTACGTCGCGTACGTCTCCCCCGTACCCGCAGAGGATTCCCCATCTCGCAAAGGCGTGATACTGCTCTGCGGGAAGACGCACCGCCACGCGGCACGCAGGGTGGGCATTCCGAGGACGAGGTTGCCGACTAGCATCGCGGTACTCGTCTCGCGCACGCACCACATAAACCAGACGAAGTCGGTTGAGTAGGTGAAGACGGCGACCTTGGTAAGGATTGCGCAAAGCATCTGTTTGAGAGACGTTAGTTAGCAAAGCGAGACTTGTATGACGGGAGGAGACGGGGCCTCTTCAGGATAGAACTTACAACGAATACGCCCATGCTAAAGAGACAGATGAGAAGGAGTTTCCTGTAGCGATATCGCATTTAGCATTCAAATTCTATCCTGGATTAAGATCCTGTCGTCTACACAACACGAAAAGGGCGTACGTACTTTCCGATTTTCATCTTTAACCGGCTGATTAATGTGACTGGGATTAGAAGAAGCACCAGATCCGTCGATAGGTTCATCGTGATTTGCAATATGTTGTAGTTCTTCCATGTCAAGCATTCCGCTGAAGAAGCAAGAGTCAGCTTCCTTCCAATAAGATGTTCGTGAAACAGCTGATCTCATGCCATCGGCTTCCAGTCCAGGAAGAGACTCACCGTTTTCTGGCTGAAGCTCCATGTACTCGGAAAATGGCCTGCACCACCCTCCGTATAGTGAAACGATGACTGCAACGTATGCAAGCCCGGTGTAAGCTGCAACGCTGACCCAAGTCTTTCGATAATGGCCAAAGAGACTGCTAACAGTGAGCACTTTGTGCTACAAAAGCGATGGCAAAAGGGATTGACACGTACGTCAGGCGATTGTATAATAGCAGTAAACAACACTTATTACCCCAAAGTGTTGTTTGCATCGATGTTTCGGATAGAATGTTCAGTATTCCCATCTTGCGACCAACTGCGGCATACTCATCCGGAGTGAGGGCGTCAAAGTCGGTCGTCGCAACGATGTCAAAGTAGATGTATAGTGCGGAGATCGAGGTAGTGTATATTAGCTGAGAGATAGCAAGTTAGCTTCAGCCGCAACACCTTTGATCAATTGTGGGCATTATGGATATCTGCGGCAGGATTGATGCAAAGACTTACGACTATTATAGCCATCAATATGTCGTCTATAGTCATTTTGTCGAAGAACCTGCGCTTGCGGACGAGGTACTGAGATTGACTGAATCGGAATATCAGTATGAGACTGGATTTGGGAAATATCGAATATGATTTACTCACTATCTCATTACGACCGCACCAATCGCCAGGCCGTACCAAACCCAGCACTCTGCTCTCGTGCTGAGTGGCATAGCCATCGCGGCGGTGCCTCCGGCGGAATGCCCGCCAAGCTGGTGTCAAGAATGTAAGGCTCGCTGATGACCGGATGATGGCGATACTTTTCCAACCCCAGAATCTTCTTTTCTCTTTCTTTCTTTCGATGAATCAGTTTCCGACCCTCCATCAAAATCAAGGGCACTGGCAAGGTTCCACAGGGAGGGGTTCACTCACGACTATATCGCCGGCGCGGTGGTCTGTCGGAACGACGAGGCATTCCAGTCCCGAGAGCCACTGAACCGCATGCGGCTTTCGAAGGGGGGAAGCATGGTATAGATGCCCAGAACAAACCCACAATTGCGAGCCTGCCTTGACCCGTTCGACACAAAGATGGCTTTGAGCCAACAACGAACTCAAAAGCCACAATCGCAAGCTCGAGGTGAGCGGTTCTCCAATGACGGGGGGTTCGCCTCCAAATACTCGACGTTGAAACTAGGTAATGCGTTAACAGTCGATGAAGAGAAACACACGGATGGCTGGTAAAGGGCCTGATTCATGTAGTATCTGGCTGCATTCGGATGGGGGATCGTCAGCTATCGCTGGTGAGTTTTAGCGCCAGCACTACAAAGCACCAAACATCAACGGGGTCGGAAGCTTCCC